ATTTGCAAATACAGCTCTACAATTAATTCCCAGCAAAGGGCAAGGTGAATTATCTTTCCCCTCCCCTCCCTTTTCTGTTTCCAAATTGTCAGTGAGCAAAGTTTTCTAATGTTCTAAATTTGTCTTTGTAATTGTTTAGCTAACAATCTCCACAGATCATTCTTAGTCCAACCAAGGCTCACAACATCTTTGTAAATATTGGTTCTATTCAAAATTTCAAAAAAATTCAAAATATCTTGGCTCGTTTTGATTGGATTCACAAATCACATGGCATTGTTTCTCTTCCCTAATTGGATGAGTGACACAATCAGGTTTCTGGTGCAAATATTTGTATTTGAGTCTAAAATTAATTTCCCGCGGGCACTGGCTTAAGAATTGCTGTCCCTGTAAAAGGTCCCACCAGCAAACTTATTAGCAAGAGATTCAGAGACCAAACACAAAGGGAGGAGCAAACACAGCCACCCAAACCCTACTGACAGTATATCCCTTCTGCTGCCTCAAGAGTGAAGAATAATCTGATACCAAAAGGCTTTTTATTAAAAAAAAAAAAAAAATCCTTGCTCCTCTGTTAGTTTCATCAGGAGCTGGATATAGACATTCCTAAGCTTCCCCCAGAAAACTGCTGATCTTGCAGGCTTTTCAGCCCCAGCTACAAAGCTTAGCCTTATTTCCAGCCACAATGCGAGAATGAAATTCATTTGGTTGAGGCTATCCAATGGGAATCACACCAGCATTGGACACCCATTCATTGTTAAAGTGGCTGCTCTCATGGGTTGGGAGCAGAGTGGATGATTTTCACCTTCTAACAGCAGAATGAAAAAGAAATTCAAAGGAGCACACCCTCCCCCTCCCCCTGCAATGGGCTGGCCAACTCCAAAGGCAGGTTACCCCCATGCACCTGGCCTAGACATCTCTCATGTCCCAAATAAGTTCTTTGATTGCACCAAATGTCAGGTATTTAAGGAGTACATTGGCATTTCACCCATTCTTGTATTCTATCAGTGGCCTCTTCATGTACTGCAGGAGTTAATTTCCCCACAGCCCTGACACTGTGAAACTCTAGCGATCCGTACACCCTACAGGTCAGAGTGGAGCCCTTGGGATGAAATGGCAGAGACAGCTGCATTTTTTTCACTTCCTGCAAATCCCTATGAACCTGTGACAGAAATTGTCTGTGAGGTATCCGGGTATTTGTTTATCATATAAGCATCTCTCTGGTTGTTCCACACTAATCATTCGTGCTTTGCCTCCTTGGCTGGCTCTCGACACAATGGGTGGCTTCTATCTCTCGAGAGCAGCTGTGTGCAATTCCTTAACTTTTACCCATAATAAAAGTGAGTTGTTGGTTTCACAAACTGATGATCATAATCCATCCCAACTTTTCAAGGATCGAGTGACAAATGGAGTATGGCCTGGTATTGTTGGCTAGTCATTTCACTGCTTTAGGATTACACCAGGTAATATTTCCTCTGTACACAGCCCTGGTGAGCTGGTATGGAAAATACTGTTTACAGTTAGTGGCATGTCCCAGAAAAAAAACTTTTAAAATCAAGTGGAAACAAAGATAAGAGGGTTGGAAGGTCTGATGTGAGAAAAAGATAAAGGAACTTAACTTATGGAGCTTTAAAGAAATAAAGGGGCATAAGGGAGTTGGGAAGAATAAGACAGAGCTATACAAAGAATAATAATTTTATTTATAAACTGCTCCACTCCAAGACACACAGTGGCCCAGGCAGACAATTAAAACACAATAATAATAAACAATAATAATTAAAACATCATAAAATGCACAATGTAAAAAGCAAACAATGTACTAAAAAGCCCACGAAATCCTAGAAAGGAAATAAAATAAAGGCAAAGGGGGAAACATATTTGAAGTTGATTGAGGCTATATCTCAGGCATTAATGGCTTTGCACTTGGAAAAGGCCAAGTTTAGATTAGATGTAAGGGAAAACATCCTAGCAGGGAAAGCACATGGGCGGTGAGAGCTCCACCGAGAGTGGGCATGGTGGGGCAACAACATTGGATGTCCTCACAAAGAGGTCATACCACACACTCAGATAACAGTGGCGTGAGCAGGTGGTTGAATCTGAAGTCCAGAGCCATTCCCGAGGTCTGTGATTACAGCATGGACAGTGAGAAGCAAAGAGAGAAATGCCTGAGTTCTGTCTAAAGCCCAGTGCAGGTGACTCAGAACTTTTGTCTTTGAAAAGTAGCTCACCGCAAGAAGCCTGCTGATGGAGCTGGGATGTAGTAGGTAAGCAGCCTTGCAGACCTGTGCCCGCTCTTCTTGTTTATGTGGAAGACACAAAACTAAACATAAGGATTGTCACTTCTCCAAACAGACCAATGGTCCAGCTCACTCGGAGTCCCAACTCCAAGAGCAGGTTTCACCCCCTCATCTCCTCTCTGCCTCCTAAAACTGTATCACTGTGCCGGGTACCACTATGCTGCTGGAGGAAGGATCCTCCTGCCTCTTGCTCCCCCACCTCCCCTGCTACTCATCAAGTCTTGACCTGAAGCACGAGGAGAGAACTTCATCCTAGAGAGTGTTGTCCCCCCAACATGACACCGACTCCAGCTGCATGGGTATTCCCTGTGTGGTGCCGAGTGGCTGACTATGGAGTGGAGAAAGGGCAGGACGGCCACAGCTATGTGGGTAACTTGCCAATGTCCCCCTGCAAATGGGGCATGCAAGCAGCAGCACAGAGCCTAGGTCAGCCTGGTGTCTGGAGGAGCTAGTGAGAAGAAACTCTCCCATGCTCAGCCAGGTTCTGGGCCTGGAAACGTAAGTATTTGCACATACTGTGTTTGCCATCTGGGGGTATAGGAACTGCCATGGCCGATCTGACCTGGGGTCGCTCTAGCTTACTGTCCTCTCTCTGATAGTGGCCAGGACCAGCTGCTTCCTAGGAAGGTGCAAGGAACTCTGCAGTTATGGGACAACCTGCTCTGAGGGAAAAGTTCATCTTTGCTCATTTCTGCCCAGAAGTAACTACTGGAGATAAGTCTCCTGTTAGCTCATTATACACAATAGCCCTAAACCTTTAGCATGAAACTGCCTTGGCAGGTGAAAAAGCATTTCTGCATGGCTAGTTTGGGCATGCATAAAGCTTTCTTCTCACTATGGAAGTGGCTTAGTGTGCCAGGTTGCATATAACTGGAGATTTGCAGGGAACTGTTCACGGCTATTTCGAATAATTTCTTTTTACTTAGTGGCTAATCTGCTAGCTCTTCACCAAATGTTGGATCAAATTTCAGGAAACAATGGACATCACATCTTAAAACCAGCAGGACTCCTTTATGTGATGTTGCCTTGCCACATTGTGTTATGTCATGTTGTCCTAAACTTCAGCACAGCTTGGGCTGGCATGAGGGTAACACATCCTGATTAAGAATGTAAAGACACGTGCAAACTTCTCTGTGTATAGGCCAGGGAGATGGGAGTCAAGATCAGGGGAGACTAAAATGCAGCATGACTGCTGCACGCACAAACCAGAGGATGCCAGAATACTTCTGACAAGTTACATCAATTATATTCCAGTTATTTGTCACACCGATTAGCTCATCAGTTTCCATTTCAAGCATGAGGCTATGTCTAAAGATGACCCATTAATAAGGAAGTGGGGCAGGTCAACAGAAAGAGGGATGAGGTTTGGGGAGTGCCTGAATTCGTATCCCTGCAAAGGAATACCCCAGGCTAATGCAACATAAATAAATACGCCATATAGCAACAGTGTATCTCTGCATTTTTCCATGTATTATGTGTGGGAGTGACTCGGACGATATGCTGTACAGGATAATGATGAGAATGTATTGTAGGGTAGCCAGCTCTTGGAAAAGAGTCAAACCTGCCGGTTAACAATTGGAGAACTGTGCTGCTGGAAAATTCAGTTTGCCCTTAGAACATTAGCCATAAAGTTTGAAAGCTTCTTGTCTTGGCTGTGGGTGATGCCTGCAACAGGGAGACTCTCAGAAAAGATGCATTTTCTGACCGTGAGATGGTCACTCTGACCGAGAGCATCACTGTGTGCTATGGCTACATTGAAATTTCAGTGTCCTCCATCAGTTCAGCCTGGTATTAGGGATAGGAAGACTGGCCCAGAAAATGCTTTTCAGATCCACCTGTGAGTCAGGAGCTGTGGGGAATTAGTTCTCCTGTGAACCCTCAATCCTACAGTCCTTTGAGCCTAAAAATAAGGGTTGGGCTGGGCAGATTTTAATGGGGGGAGTAGTGAGGGGTTTTGTCATGCCTGGGGTAGCAGGCCAGTGCAGAGGCAGGAAAGACCATGGCTCTGCCTCCCCAGTACCCGTTCCTGACATGTTAGGGGCAAGGTGACACTTTGGGGGCTCACAGAAGGAGCAGTCCCTGCACTCTCCCTCCAGACCCAGGAGGAACCAGGGGAGAAAGCATTGTTAAAGGCTGTTAGTACCGCATATCTCACGGCTTTATTACATCCCAGCACTTCCAAGGTGGCATCCAATTAAGGGGGACTTCTGTTTGAATTTAATTACATGGGAACATGAGATTTGACAAACAGGACTAGGCAATTGGTCCATCTACTCCAGCATCTCACCTCACAATGCCTGGTGCTTCAAAGGAAGATGGAAATGTAACTACTCATAAGTGTACCTGGCTGGGGAAAAATTCCTGCCGGACCTCTTCAGACATTATCTTCAGCATGAGCTTGGATTAGCCCTCTCTTTTCCTTGCATCACTAAAAATGTTACTATTGATTGTAAAATTATGCAGCTTCTTTTTAAATCCAGCTACATTTAACTTTATGACCTCCTATGGATGCTAATTCCACAGGCTGCCAACATACTGGGTGAGGAAACAATGACTTCTATTTATTCTAGATTTACCTATTAACTGCAGTGAACGGGTCCTTGTTCTCTTACTTCAGTATAGCAAACTAGAGACTGATCAGTTTTCATTCTACTCTTCATAACCTTAATTCTTCATATTGAATGCTTTCTAGCCCTTCTCCTTGCCAGGCTAAATAATCCCAGTTTGTATATAGGTTCTATCATACTGCGTATTATGCAGGCTTAATTTTATGCCAACAATTTTTGCACCTACAATGAATAACAGGTGAAACTGGGAGTCCTTAGACATCTTACTACTGCATTGCACCAACAAATCAGGAGGTTAGTTGTCTAAGTGCTACCAGCCATGCCCGCAGTTCATTGCAGCTGCTTTTATTTGGAAAATCATGCCCCTAAGTCTGAAGGCCTGTCTGAAAATCACCCCATTCTTTGCTTACCTGCAGAAGCAGACAAAGAGGGAGAGAGGGATGCACACGCAGACATCAACACACAGATTTTCAGCCTGAATTTGTATCACTTTTGGTTCTTCAAAGGTAAACAAATAGATCGGTGTTGTTTTTCCCCTCCTTCAGCTGCTGAGCTGGTGAGCCGTGTCTTTTGTAGAGAGAGCCCTTTAAAAGCTCTGGGAAGCAGTTCCAGCATTTTCTATAGGTGCAGACAGATAATTGAATGCTTTCTAAGAACACTGTGAGGCAGGAAAACTTCAATTTTGCAGCATCGTATTCCCTGCATGGACTGAGCTTTGTGCCTTGGTGAGTTTTTTGTTTGTTGGTTTTTGTTTTTGTGTTTTGCCCTCCTCTGTTCCTCTAGACGTTGAATTGCTCTCTGTGCTTTTGTGGTTTGTCTCTAACAAAGCAGGTAGGGTGGGAAAGGAGAAATTATTTAAAATCTGACTAAAGACTCTTGTAATCTATCAATCGGTAGAGCAGGGACTATTTTATCTCATCTGAAATAAAGAAGGAGCCTTTTCCGGGCAGTGATGATGGTCAGAAAGCCTTAACCCACACAGCAGCACAAAAGACGGCTCCAGGCAATCTGCTGGGTTTTGGTGGTTTTGTTTTGAATTTGTTGATTCATAGGCAGAACTAGAGTGATATTTTGGAAGCAGAGAGGGGATTTTCTTATCTCTTCAGTGCTTGCTGGCACAGCGATTAGATCTGTTTGGGTGTGAAGGGAAGAGCTTACTGCTGGCTGGAAATGAGCACCCTGCAGGCCTGAAGCAGCCAGATATTCTCACATCGCTATTTCAATGCACCCCCAGCCTGGAGTTCCGGGAGACTGGGTAGGAGCAAGAGAAGGAGAGTGGGTGTCTTTACTCTGACTATCCAAGGATCCAGTTACCTTCACAGACACCTCTCACTCTGTGGCTCTGCCTCTTTAGATGTGGATGCTGCACACGCCCCAGTCAGTAGTGAGTGGTCCAGAAACCCAAGCTCCCCCAGTGTCTATGGGGTCCATGTTGGGACTGGCACAGGCTGAGGTACATGAATTATTCTGGGCATTTGTCAGGGTCGATGTGGCTCAGCTGACATATTTGACCAGACACCGTGTTGCTTTTGAGAACTCAGCCCACTCCTGTTGCTGCTGACGCCTCCAGCACTGTAGAAAATACAGATGGAAACAAATCTGTTAAGTCCCATTTCGCCAATCCTATTGCCAAATGTTTATTCCGCTGATTACAGACCGCATCGTCTAACCTACTCATGAAGGGCCTACGCCATGTGCCTTCCATTGCTTCAGTAACATGGTGTTCTGCAAAAGTCCAACAGGCTTCACCATGGTAACAAAGGAACAATGATCTTGGGGTTAAAGCATTAGACTGGGGCTCAGGAGGTCTAGGCTCAGTTCCCAGGACCACCCCCAGTCCCCTGTGTGACTCAGAGTCACTTAAACTCTCTGCCTCAGCACCCCCTCTGTAGAATGGGGATCAGAATCCTTCTTTTCTGCCGCTCTTCAACTATCTTGTCTGTTTGGATTGTAATCTCTTTGGGGCAGGGACGGTTATTTATTGTGTGTATACAGCACCAAACACAACGGGAACTGATCTCAGTGGGAGCCTCTAGGTGCTACCATAATGCAAATCAATAATAATAAAATAACATTTCTTGCTCTGCAGCTCCGAACCTCACTTGGTGTCATTTCAGTGTTCCTACTTACACCCCTTTGGTGCACCTCTAAAGCTCCTCTCCTTGCTTGGCCTTTATTGCACCAGAGCACACCGAGACCAGGCCTCTGACAGAGCCTGGAACAAGGTCTGCCCGAGAATTCTGAGCTTTGTGTGCTGTCTCTAAGGCCCATCCTGGATATTGTTACTAGAGCTGCTCGACAAAGCAGGCGTTTATCCTCTCGCTGTATCACAGCATCACAAGAAGGTGAGACCTGTTCCTGTTCTTAGAACACAGCAGCGCAGGGAGGTATTTTTAGCATGCTAACATAATTTCTTTTTTAATACCTACTACGGCAGAAGAAGCAGCAGGTGTGTCTGTTGGTGGGATGAAGAGCTGTAGAAATGTTCAGGTGAAGGCTACCAGCAGACAGCCACACACAGGATATTTTAAGGATACAGTGATTGGATTTTAAAGTTAACCCACCTGGAAGTAGGCTAATTCCCTATTTTAGTTCCCCACGTGTGTGTGTGTGTGTTGGGGGTGGGGGGAGGAGAGCGTGGAAGGGGGAGCTCAGAAGTTTAGTGGGCTCTTCACCTTTTGCATTTCAGTGCGGGTGGTTATTCCGTACAGGCGCAATCCATGTAGTTTATTTCTGGACCAAAGAAAAGACCAATTTAAGTCTTGTTTCTGTTGGAAGTGACATTGCTTATGCACAGCCCCATGAGCTTCACAGGATCTGTACTGGCCCCTGGAACATCAGTGGGAGTTTTGCATTGAATGACATGATACAAAAATAAATTGTATTGTATTTAAATATTCCTAAAGTCATTTTAGTGCATTTAAGTCTTAATTCATCTTCTCTAAATCCCTTTTCACTACATTAATGTGATCTATTGATAGAAAAATGAATGACGTTACTAAAGAATCTTGCTGGCAATTTTAGTCATAAAATCTTTTTTTTTTCCCCATTCCCTTTCTCCTTTCCTGTTCAGGCCCTCTTGCTTTCTTAATCTTCTAAGGCTATTCTTGGGTTCCTTGAAGAGGCTTCAAGATGTCTCCTAAATCTTTTCACTGCAGCTAATTTAATATGCGCCAATTTAAAGATGTAATGACGAAGAATCAGGTTTGGACTGGGGGAGTGAGGCCTGTTCAAGGAACGATCTTCTATTTAGACAGAAGTGTTGAACATTTATTAAGGGCTTCCAGGCACGCACGCGTGCACACACACCGGTCCAAATGGAGCATGTTCCTCCCCCAGTCCCCCATCCTAGCCTCTCTATTAAGAAATCTCAATCAGTTGATATTTGAATGCTGGATGCCACCCAACTTGAGAGTTGCATTGGCAGCAGGCCTCAAGTTTCTACCATTCAAGTCCTGAGCAGCCTGGCTCTGAATTTATGCACTGCTTTCCCATTCCTTCTTGATTTATCATTTCCAGTGTGCCAGCTAAGTCATATACATTAATCATCTCAACTTTTAAACCTTCTCCCTTAAATCATTTTTCACACTGGGAGCCATTTGTTTTGCACACTGGAGGGCCCTTCTCTGTTTCTCTGTTTGCAATGCACATCTCCAGTGAAAGTATGATAAGCTGGGACAATCAGGGTTCTCCTCAAAAGGCTATACCTCTTTTCGTTAAAGTAGGTAGGTAGATAAATAGATAGCTGCAGAACTGTCCCTCCTGGATTGTTCAATTCTCTCCAGTAACAGGGAACTTGGCAACAAGATAGGATGGAAAAGCACAGAGAGAAGCTGCTTTTAACAAGAGCTGGGAGTCTGAACCAGAAAGCTCAGATCCAAAGACCTTCAAGCTAAGGGCAACTTAGAATCATGTCTGGACTGGAACAAATGCAGTGGGACTGCTCTGGATTTACATAGACACATGACAGCGCAAAATTAGACACCACTTGTATAAGTATTCCGATGGGTGTGTGTGCGTGCAAGGGAGAGAGGACTGGGAACAAGGATGTTAACAGCCAAAGCTGCCTAGTAGTTCCACTAAGCTGCTTTACAGCTGTGCTAACAATGGCTCTTCTCCCCCACCCAGCCTCTTCATATCACGCTGCACATTTGGTTAGATTTGGATGGGAGCACTAGGCTCTTACTTCCCATATTCCGTAGGGCTCTGGTGGTGATGCCAGCCAGGTGGTGCCAACAGACAGATGCCTGTCCGGCTCTTTCGGAGGCTTATTTCCCACAGCAGGGCCAGTAGTCTATTACCAGCTGTGGAAAGCATTGCAGAGATCTCTGTATTGCTGAGGATCCATTCCGTGATTTTCACCACCACCCGCGTGTGAATTCCCTTTGAGGGGCAGATTGTTCTTTTCATAAGGGATATGTAAGGAAAACACAAAGCAGGTGCCTGAAGAGGCTCCGACAGTGGCCAGTGCCAGATGTTTCAGAGGAAGACGTAAGAACTCTGCAGTAACAGATGTGGGATAATCCACCGCCATTAGGTCTCATCCTGGTCTCCGAATAGCTAGAGACTGGCTTAACCCCAGAAGCCAGTGTTGGTTGTTACGCTCCGCTGAGTAGGAGAACGAGCGGCGCATTCTCCTCTGCCTGACATGTTGAATTTCCCCAGCCAGGGCAGGTATGCATTTTGCTATAGCGCCACATTAGCTTTTCTATATTGCAAATTAGATCTGGCTAATTAGGTGAAGAAGAGGAATCCATTTTAAGGAGTGAAGCCTCCTGGTGTCTCTTTGTAACTAACCAGACCGCTGCCTTTACCGAACTGTTCGCAAACCAAGAGCCCACAAGCAGGGAGGAGAGTGTGATTCAAAGTACACTTGATTTTGTGGTTCTAATCAGGTGTATTCTCTTGATCCCAGCAGCTCAGGGCATTGTGCATTATCCACGCATCCTGGTGTGAAAGGAGCCATTGACATTAGAAACAGAAAAAGTCTGTCTGGTCCCATTAGTCTTGCCCCTGGGGAGTAGAGTATGATTGTGCCTACAGTCCATTTTATGCTGCTTGGTCCTCTTGTTTTAAATGCTCCAAGCAATGGAAGTTCCTGTGAGCCTCGGACATTGGCCCACTGTCGATGTATGGAAGGCATGAACAGATGCTTCTGAGAGGTTGCTAAATGGACAAAGCCACATGTTCCAGTAGACCACTCTCAGCCAGAGCATCTTGTGGCACTCTGGTATTTACCTGCTGTGCTCTGCCCCCTGAGTATAGGGCTCAGCTGGGCCTGAACCCAGGAATTTGGTGCCCTTTCGCTGCATGGGATCAGTTTGTTCTGTCCACGGTAAGCTCACCACATGTAGAAAGGGATATATGTCCGCTCATGTGGCAATCTTCCCAATGCCCAGGCACCCAGTGGAATTCAGAAGCAACGCATGGAGCAGGGTGATGGAGTTACTGCCATATATTGCTTTTGTACTATTATTCCCACACGTCCTATCTCCTGAAGGTGGTAATCTCTGCCATGGGGCCAGGGTGGAGGCAATCCCCCACCATCATTTTTGCCCTGGAAAGCTAGAGAAATTGCTGAAAATGGCAAAAAATCCACCCCACAAACAAAATGTTCATGAACACTCACAAGGCCAAACTGATGGCGCAAACAATGATGGTTAGTGCCAACCAAAATTCAGGCAGAGGATTGAACCCTGCTTCTGGGGTTAAGCCACTCTCTAGC